TGGCATGTGGTGCTGGGGGATCGAACCGCGGTCCCTGATGCTTTGCTAAGCTTGTTCTAAGTAGGTGCTTTAGACCACTGAGCCATCTCTCCAGCCCCTATATCCCCAATTTTAAAAAAATTTTGAGACAAAGTCTTCCTAAATTGCCCAGGTTGGCCTCAAACTTGCAATCCTCCTGCCTTGTCCACGGAGTAGCTGGCTTTACAAGTGTGCACCACAGTACACCTTCTGATCAAATGTGATTTTTACTCATGTGATTCTATTGTGAAGAGATCTGAGGCAAGGGTACGTACTGATCATTGAGGGCAGGACAAATTTCCTACTGATCTTTCATAGGGATAAGGGGATTGTTAGGCTATACAGTCAAACTCCTCAAGTCTCCCATGAATTTCAGTGAATAAGTTGGAAGTGTCCTAAGCATTGTGAAAGCAGAATGGCTCTGTGTGATAGGCGAGATGGTCAGAAAGTCACACAAAGGAGCACCGGCTGTCGACAACTTTGCTAATTCCACCACAATGGAATGAAGTTACAGAATTCATACAGCTAATTCTCTAGGGTAATCCAGGAAATCCAATGCAGCATGGCCATTCTAAATCTCTGAATTTATTTATTTTTTAAGGAGTACAAAATAGTATTAAAACAGAAAAATTGTGATAGAATTTCACTTAACAAAATAATATGAATTTCAAAGTATGTTGTAATGCATAGTGTTTTCCAGTTAGCTGTTCGTATTACCAGATACATGCATGCAAAACTAGAGGAAAAAAGAAATATATAAGAAATTAAGAGAAAAAGGACAATTGAAAAAAAGAGACAAAAAAGCATTAACTGCTCCTTTCCATAGGCCAGCAGGAATGCACAGTACAGTTGTCCAAACCATCCTTACATACATAGATGTATCTCTTTCCCCACTTGCTTTCCTGTCCTTCTCAACTCAGTAATTCCTTCGTTTTGAATAGGTTCATTCCCTTTTCCCAGAACCTATTCTCTTTCAGGTTCTCACACTAAGGAGACAATATGAGGTTTGCACATGTGGGTCTGATTTATTTCACTTAAGGAGTATGGTCTCTAGTTGCATCCATTTACTGATAAAGGTCTCAAATTTGACTTGTCTTATATACTCCATTGTGTAAAAATACATCTTTACCTATTCCTCAGTTGATGTTGCTTCCAAGATTTAGCGAGGACAAATTGTGCTGCTATAAACATTGCATACAATGTTTTCAGTTCTTCTGGAAAAATACCCAGGAGGGAAAAATACCCTAGCATTTTAAAATCTCTTAATTTAAACTCAAGACAGGTTTGACCTTACACTTAACAGCTGTAGTTATCATAGGAATCCTGCCCCACTAAAAAAACCAAAATGGGGGCCGGGGAGATAGCTCAGTAGAATAAGTGCTTCCTTGTTAAACGCAAGGCCCTGAGTTCAATCCCCAGTTCCGCCAAAAAATAAATAAATAAAATAAATAAATAAATAAAATAATAACTAAATAATGAAATGAAAATACAACTCAAGGGATTTTGAAAAGATTCTCAGGGTCGGTCAGATAGCTCAGCAGACTAAAGCACCTGCTTAGGCAGAGCACAGTGCCTGGGGTTCGATCCCCAGTGTGTTGTGCTGGCCCCGCCCCCGCGGCGCGCTGAGATGGCAATTGAGACTGAGCGTGGTGGCGTGCACCTGTAATCCCAGCTCTTGGGAGGCTGAAAACAGGAGAATCACTGTGAGTCAGATCTCCATAGTGAAGACCCTGTAGACGCTGTAGTCTTTCCACACACACACACACACAAAAAAAAAAAAAAAAAAAAAAAAAAAAAAAAAAAAGATTCTCAACTTTATTGCTTAAAACACCAGCTTAGGGGTTGGGGAGATAGACCTGGGTCCATTCCCTGGTACTGCATGCCATCCTGGCCACTGAAACTGGGTATGGCAGCACATACCTGTAATCCCAGTGCTGGGGAGGCTGAGACAGGAGGATCACTACAAATCCGAGCTGTGTAGGAGACCCCGTACCAAATAAAGATTAAAAAAAAAAAAATTAAAAAACCCCCACAACACCTGCTTGCACCAGCATTTGCACTTCCTTTCTTTCAGGACCGGAGTTGTAGCTCTTTGGTACAATACTTGCCTAGCTAGCATACATGAGGCTCTGGGTTCAGTTCCTAGCACCCCCACCTCCACTTAAAAAAGAAAAAACTTTTTTATAATTTTTTCTGTATAAAAATGAAATTTTTCTGTATGCTATAGTATACATGAAGATGTCTTACTCAGCACATTTTAATGGTTATATTAATTTTTCCTTTTCATTGAGTCAGGGTCTCATTAAACAGTTTAGGCTGGCCTTGAACTCTTGGCAATCCTCCTGCATCAGCCTCATGATTGCAGGGGATACAGGTGTGCACCACCACACCTGGCCTTACAATAGTACTTATTGTACTTGTTGCTTTTCTTCCTTTTTTTTGTATGTATTATTGAGACAGGGTCTTATTGTGCAGTTCAGGCTGGGCTTGAGCTCACCTTGTAGCCCAGGCTGGTCTCAAACTCACAACAATCTTCCTGTTTCAGCCTCCCCTGTACTGGATTACAGGCATGTGCCACCATGCCCGGCTGCTTTTTATTTTCTATAATCTCATTCTCATTGATCACACCATTCCCACTGAGATGGAAAAGTAATCATAACTTTTAGCTTAAAATTACTGGTTTTGGTTTAAAATTACTAGTTGGGAGACTGGGCGTGCTGACATGTGTGCCTATAATCCCAGCTCTTGGGAGGCTGTAAATAGGCAGATCACTACGAGTCCTATCTAGTAGTGAGACTCTGAACACCCTGTAGACCCTTCCCTAAAATACAAAAAAAAAAAAAATGAAAATACAAATAAAATTACTAGTTGGGGGGCTGGAGAGATAGCTCAGCAGCATAAATGCCTGCATGGCAAGTGCAAGGTTCTGAGTTCAATCCCTGGTACAAAAAATAACATAACACAAATAAAATAAAATAATTATTAGCTAGATTGTGCAGAAGCAAACTTCAGGATTCTTTGACAAAAGGCCCAAGTTATACACTAAATGACTTCAGGGTAAACAAAATATTAAAGATCACAGCAGAGGAAATCACAACAGTGAAATAAAAGAAGGTTGCTCTTGGGGGCTGGTGAGATGGTTCAGTGGTCTAAAGCACCTACTTAGAACAAGCTAAGCCAAGCAAAGCACAGGGACCACGGTTCAATCCCCCAGCACCACATGCCAGCCAGCCCCGCCCCCTGGTGGGCTGAGCTGGCCACACACACACACACACACACACACACACACAAAATAAAAAAAAAAAAAAAAAGAATAAAAAAAAAGAAGGTTGCTCTCTTAAACAGCAAGTTCCAGGTGAAGAGGAACATTAATTTCCACCGTGCATGGTGCCATCTATCACCCATACCTGCACATTTAAGAGAAAAAACGCTGTGGTCTGTTAAAATTCAAGGTAAGCAGATAGAGCTCATATGCATTTACTCATGCAGCACTTACATAAGCCACTTATTTGGCAATGAGACTTAGGGGGCTTCCCCACAGCACCCCAACACACTGGGGGTACGGTGCTTTGTTTTCATGAGAACAGTCCAGTATTAGTACAGATAAACACGAAGAATTGCTGAATGTCTACTAGAAAATTTGAGAATTAACATCTTAGAGAGACAGCAGTTTGCATAGGAAATAAAATGGAACAATTACTGAAAGGTATTATGATTTGAAATTCATCATTTTTTTCCGAAGGCAGTGAATTTAAGCTGAATGAAAGGTGTTGTGGAACTAGAAAAAAATGTTTCCCTCCCATTTAAGTAAGATCATGTGAGAAGGGAAGCTGAAACTCACCTGGAAACTGCCACAAAAGGAGAACAGCAGAGGCTACACTTAACAGAAATGTTTTATGAGTAATTCTGGAACAGGTATCTCTGAAGTCATCCTTTCTGGTCTCTCTATTCTCTAAAGTGAACTTGGCTACCACTTTAAATAATGAGACACAAAGACTCAGATAACAGTCTAATTTCAACAGCTTTTTTTTTTTTTTTGCCTTTTGGGACAGTATCCTACTATGTAGCTCAGGCTGGCCTTAAACTTGCAGCAATCCTCCTGCCTCAGACTCCTGAGTTCAGAAGCATTTTTTAAAATTAATTTTGGGGCCTGGGAGATGGCTCAGTGGAATAAATGCTTCCCTGGGAAGTGCAAGGGCCCGAGTTCAATCCCTGGTTCCACCAAAAAAAAAAAAAAAAAAAAAAAAAAAAAAAAAAATTATTGGTATACTTTCAGTTCAGATTTGTTTGCTTTTGGTACTGACAACTGAACCTTGGGCTTCTAGCTTACTAAGCAAGTATTCTACCACTGAGCTAAATCCCCAGCCCCTATTGGTATACTTTTTTTCTTCACATAATCAAAAACAGTAGCATGGGGCTGGGGAGATAGCTCAGTAGAATAAGCGTTTGCCTGGCAAGCATAGGGTCCTGAGTTCAATCTCTGGTACTGCAAAAAAAAAAAAAAAAAAAAAAAAGTAGCATAGTTTATTGGTATACTTCTGATATACATAATGATCACATTCATTATAGGGAATTTGTACCCTGTACATAACATAAGAAGCATTTTTTAAAAAATAAATAATGAATATACCAAATACAATTTTATTTCTAGTGATTAAAACCAACTTATAAAAAATAAAACCAACTTGTATACAACCAAAGAGAAACCAAATTTCTTGCAAACTGAAGAAATAATTTAAGCTATTTTAAGATCCTTTTTTGAGAGGATTAAAAAATTATAAAGAAGCTACCACAGAGTCAGGGGTCATCAAAACATAGGAAATCCTTCTGTCTGTTCTCTGGATACTCAAAATGTAGACACTTTTCATCCCCTACCAAGGGGAAAGTCCCACAGAGCTGCCCTAGTCTAGAAAATACTCTGTTACTAATTTAATACAGTTACCATGCAGTGACAGTGCAGGTTGCAGCAGTAATTCTCCTTTATTGGAGCAATGATAATCAGATTTCATTTTTAAAGCATATGAGCACTTTCAAAGATTGAAATATACACATCTTCACCAGCCAGGCCTCCTTGCCTGTACAGGACACAACTAATAACATTTATCATAAGCAGATACATCAGGGTTCCAGGTGCTGGATGGGGATTACAAATGCTTGCTCCACATGATGTCTTCCATTAACCTGAAGCCTTTACTTTATTTCTTTTAGCAAACCACTCATCACTTTTATCTGCTGCCATTGCCTATAGAAACAAAAAATTGAATACATTTATTCCAAGATGGAAAAATGAAAGATACAGCTTTGTACTTCACTGCACTGTCCACAAAGGAGACATTAACATTAAAGAGTGCTCATCTGGTGCATCTTGTTGAATGCAAGAGGAGATGCTGGTGGCTACCAGGACTCTCACTGCTGAGTCAGGGGCAGAGCTGCAGCTGGGAAGCACAGCTGGCTGATGCAGCAGCAGGACCACACACAAGCTAGGTTCTAGAGTCTTTGGTAGAACCAAACTTTTTTTAGTTTCAGTCACGAGCTTCAGTCAGATCATGAGACCAAGTATGAGTAATTTTTTTATCTTTTAGCTATCAGGAGTAACACAATTCCTTGTTAAACCTCTTCCCACCTATTCTCTTAATACTGATTCTATTAGGGTCTGACCGTGTAGCCCTAGCCCTGGCTGGCCCCACACTCATGGCAATCCTCTTGCCTCAGCCTCCTGCATGCTGGGACTACAGGTGTGCACCACTACACCCAGCTGGAAATACTTTTCCAACAATGAGTTCGCAACCAAGTATGGTACTGTATACCTATAATTCAGCACTCTGGGACACTGAGGCAGGAGGATCACAAGTTTGAGCCTAGCCTGGCCAACTAAGGGACTTAGTGAGACCCAATCTCAAAATAGAAAGCAGCTGCTGGATCTGGCAAGATGATGTCACCAATGATGAAAATTAATTAAGTAAATTTTTAAAAAATTAAATCTTTTATTTGGTACAGGGTCTCGCTACACAGCTGCGACCATGGTGATTCTCGTCTCAGCCTCTCCAGTGCTAGGCTTACAGGTGTGCGCCGCCACAGCAGGCTTTGGGGCTGGCATAGCATGCGGTACCAGGGATCGAACTCAGGAACTTGCACTTGCCAGGCCCCTAATTAAGTATATTTAACTAATGTACTTAATTGAGACACAAGAGCTAGTATAGTAATAGTATAGAGCTAGCTATACTATTTCAGCTAGTACAGACTGAAATCTAAGTGAGAGATGTATTTTTAAATTAGAAAACTGTCAAGGATCAAATAATAGCAAATGCTGGAGAGGATACAGAGGGAAAAGGAATCTTTTTATATTGTTGGTAGAAATGTAACCTAGTACAGTAAGTATTGAAATCAGTATGAAGATTCTTCACAAATCTAAAACTGGAAGTTCCATTTGGCCCAGATATTTCCCTTCTCATTGTCTTCCTGAAAAAGTTAAAGACAGCATTTTGCAGTGGTATGTGCATGTTCACGTTTATAGCGGCACAATTCATAACAGCTAAATCTTGGAAGCAGCCTTATATCCATCAGCAGATGAATGGATAAAGAAAGTGTGATACTTACACACAATGGAGTACTACTCTGCCATAAAGCAGGATAAACTTGAGTCATGTGTACATGAGCTGAAACCATGTTAGGTGAACTCAGATACCCAAGTGTAAATATCACGATTTCTCTTATATGAGAAACTCACACTATAAACAAAGCAAAATAAATGACAGAAAGCAGGGAGACAGAACTTTCTCAAGTGGGAAGGGGACTAAGAGGTAGATGGAGGGGAAGGGGATGAGCAGAGATTCTGTGTTATGTACATGTGCCTCCCCCCAGCAATGTAATTATTATGGAGAGTGAACATGTACTGATTTTTAAAAAATGTACAGAAGGGTTAGGATCAATAAAAGGTGCTTTAGGGCTGGAGAGATGGCTCAGTGGTCTAAAGCACCTACTTAGAACAAGCTTGGCAAGGCATCAGGGACC